GATGAGAATGATTTGTTTACTTATTCATAAAATATTTAGAAATGCCTGGCTCTTGATGCTCTGCAACTAAAAATATAAGTTCCTTATGCCTCCCTTAGAATGCAAGAGTTCCATGTCCTTGCCCCCACCAATTCCTTTAGCTTTGCATGTGAGGCTCCAGCATAGTGATTTTTTTTGTATTTTGTTATTTCACTCAGCTCCTGCTTATGTCTTTATGTCAAAAACACTGTTTCCTGTTTTTCATCCTTGTGAACTCACTTCCGCTCATCAGAACTTTATACAGTTATATTTTATCTACTCTGTTAAGATTTCTTGGAACTAATAATTCTTGACACACACACATTCTTACATACACACACTATCTGTCACCCCACGCTATTTCTGTCTTATCATAAATAAAGAGGTAATATGCAAATTAACCTTCACACCCTCACAAGATGGCTGTGTACGACCAAACCGGCCGGGAGGTTAGTGAGGGAAGACCAAACAACTGAACAGCAGACTGTGTGGGGTGACCAAGCCAGTGAGGAGGCCATGAGGGGCATCCAGGCAGGCAGGGGGAGAAGTTGGGGGCAACCAGGTTGGCAGGGGAGTCACTGAGAGGCAACTAGACTGGCAGAGGGGGCAGTTCAGGGCAACCAGGCCTGCAGGGGAAGCAGTTAGGAGTGTCCAGGCAGGCAGGCAGGTGAGCGAATAGGACCAGCAGTCCAGGAATGTGAGAGGGATGTCTGGGATCGAGCCCAAACCAGCAGTCAGACATCCCCAGAGGGGTCCCAGATTGGAAAGGGTGCAGACTGGCTAAGGAAACCGCCCATGCATGAATTTTGTGCACCTGGCCTCTAGTTGCTCAGAAGTATCTTATCTTTGTGCACTCTACAGGTAGCAGTAGAGTTACATATTCTCTGATATGTAAATAATACAGTGCCTAGCATTTAGTAGGTAATTCAATATTGGAACTTTTTCATTTCTTATTTTCAAAAGAATTACTGGTGTCTTACTAAAAATAAGGTTTTCAGCTTTAAAAAGATGAGATTCTGCTTATCTTATGTGGCTCATTGGTTAAGCATCAATTTATGAGCCAAAAGATGAGGTCCTGGCAAACTTTCTGGTTTTCTCAGACACCAAACGACTGTTATTTTACTTGCTTCATATGCTTAATGCTGACACAATACAGTGTGTGCTCTCAGTTTGATACTGAAATGAACTAGTGTTTATGAGGGATGATCAAGAGCTTGAGTGGAATTACTGGCTATGAAACGGAATAAGAAATCCCCTGTGTTGGAGCCCAGCATGTATAAGGAGCAAGTGCAGGAAGATGTAGAAGGAGGGGAAAAAGGATTTTGAGGAGCTCCCTTCTGCCAGACTCAGCACAGATCATTTCAACCTAAACTCTATGTTTTTCCTCTGATATCCAAGCCAGAAAAGAAAGGGAAGACATTGATAAGAAGAATGCAAATGAGCAATGAAGAAATTGTTTGAGTTAATGAAATAATGTAAGGGGAGCTATAAAGAAGCTAGGATGAATGAGAAATTTTAGATAGCAATTGATAATTTTAAAATAAAACTGATCTCATAAAATTTCCTAGAATTCAGTGAGCAAAATTATAACTCAGTCATTGCATATTAACATAATCACACCAACCAGGGCCAAAATTTCCCAATTTTCAATCTAATATTTCTTTAGGTAATCCTTGAGGTAGCACTTTATTTGGGTAAACTTGTGTGTCTTGGAAACTCTTAGGTTCTCGAAAGGAACAATTACTTCTCACTGATCAAGCCCTCTTCAGCCACAACCCTAAATTCTGCTCTCTTCCAGACCCCTCTCTTCCAACTCATACAAACCCATATGCCTAATTTGAACTTTCTACTCAATGAAAAAAGAAACAAGATGTTTTCCATAAAGTTTTATCTTTTCCTCCAAAGCAAAACAGTGTACTAGGTATCTCTTGAAAAGAATGTCTTAACAAAATGGAGAATATCTGTTGTGGAGAACAACTAGTCTTCAGGCAAATTGAAGAAACAAATATAGCTGAACATGGCAGCACAAAATGTCCCTGTGGTGGTAGATCTGTGCTCTAACTCTCCATCCCATTCAAATGTGATGCCAGGTGCTGCATTCTAAGGGTCACTGCAAAGGATAGATACTGTAGACACACTGTGCTGGTGCCTAAGCCATTTATTATCATTTGATATGTGTTCCATGTATTATAAACATTGCTCCTATTTTCTGGCTTCCAAAATCGTCCTAAGAGTCTCTGCATTCTATACTTATGGCTGATATAATACTGCTGCTCTAAAGCCCCAATCTATGTTTCTCTTATGTCAACTATACAGGAAACTCAACCTGCTACCTCTTTATCACAATTTAAACATTGCAAAAAGAATGAAATATGATTTTCCATTCTTTGGTAAAATGTCTTTATTTAGTCCAGACATCTCTGACAAGAGGAATGAATGAAAAGGTCACATAGTATAAACATAGCTACAAGCAAAGGGCCCCCGGGGAAGAAAAATTGTGGACTGAGATAAATTCAAAAAATAAGAAATACAAACATTTTAAATCGTACTTACTACAGCAGCTGGAAACTTACAATTCTTTTATCAATTTAAATGAACTATTCATATTTATGTAGTATACAGATATTCATCTTGGGTTTGTTTGGGATTCAATAAAATTATAGGTTTTATTTTTAAATTGTAGTTTAAATTAATTGTAGTCTAGATTAATTTTTTAAATGTAGTCTTTTCATTGTTCTAGAATTTCACCTTGGAATTCTGTACTTATAATTCAGCATGTCCAACTTGCAGAATACCACATCCTCTTCCATCATTTTCCTGCTAACTGGTGTTCCTGGGCTGGAAGCCTTCCACATCTGGATCTCCATCCCCTTCTGCTTTCTCTATATAGCAGCCCTCTCGGGAAACAGCCTGATTCTCTTTGCCATTGTCACTCAGCCCAGCCTCCACGAACCCATGTATTATTTCCTCTCCATGCTGTCCACCACTGACCTCGGCTTGTCCATATCCACCCTAGTCACCATGTTGGGTATATTCTGGTTCAATGCCCGGAAGATCAGCTTTAACGCCTGCTTGTCACAGATGTTCTTTATTAAACTCTTCACAGTCATGGAATCCTCGGTGCTGTTGGCCATGGCCTTTGATCGCTTTGTAGCCATCTCTCATCCTCTCAAGTATGCAACCATTTTAACTGACTCCAGAATAGCTCAAATTGGAGTAGCAATTGTCATCAGGGGGACACTGACACTGACACCAATGGTAGCCCTTCTGAAAAGACTGTCCTACTGCCACAGCCTCGTGCTCCACCACTCCTATTGCTTCCACCCTGATGTAATGAAGCTCTCCTGCACAGACACCAAGATCAACAATGTGGTGGGGTTGACAGCCATGATCTCTACTGTTGGGGTAGACTCAATCCTCATCCTCCTTTCTTATGTTTTGATCATTAAGACTGTCCTCAGCATTGCATCCCCAGAAGAGAGGAAGAAAGCTTTCAGCACATGCATCTCCCATATTGGGGCTGTTGCTATTTTTTATATTCCATTGATCAGTCTATCCTTTGTTCACAGATTTGGAAAACAGGCTCCACCATATGTACATACTATGATTGCTAACACCTACCTGCTGATCCCACCTGTGATGAACCCCATCATCTACAGTGTGAAGACCAAACAGATACGTAGAGCTGTGATAAAAATTCTCCATTCCAAAGATATATAGACTCAGAATTCTAGCCACTCTACATCGAGTCATGTTATTAAAAAATAGAACTAGTGCTCAATAAAACTGAGGAAAAATTTACAGATTGGGTAATATGTAGAATATCAGCTAGCTTGACTCCTTTATTTTACAAATGTGAATACACAGACATAAGAATGTGAGAGACACCTGCTGGCATAGCTCAATGGTTGATCATTGAACTTATGAAATTATGATTCCCTGTCAGGGCACATGCCTGGGTTGTGGGCTTGTTCCCCAGTATGGGGCATGCAGGAGGCAGCCAATCAATGATTCCCTCTCATCACTGATGTTTATATCTCTATCTCCTTCTCCTTTCCTCTCTAAAATCAATAAAAGTATATTTTTTAAAAATTGTTTAAATAGAATAAAAGGAACAAACAGCCTAAAGCCCTAAGTCTAGAATTTCTTCTCCCCATAGCCTTTCATTCTAAACTTTGTTAACCCTGCCAAAAATCCTTTTTACTTCATCTACTTCATAACAGTTCGAACAACACATTATGAAAAAATTCACTCCTTTATGAAAATTAGGGAGTACTTCCTAACTGTAATAATAATTTTAACTAACATTTATTTCCTTTGACCAGTCATAGCTTTAGGTGTGTTTTATTACATATATTAACACATTTTTTAAAGGTTTTTTAAAATATTTTTTATTGAGTTTTTACAGAGAGGAAGGGAAAGAGATAGAGAGTTAGAAACATCTATGAGAGAGAAACATTGATCAGCTGCCTCCTGCACACCCCCTAATGGGGATGTACCCACAACCAAGGTACATGCTCTTGACCAGAATCAAACCTGGGACCCTTCAGTCCTCAGGTAAATGCTCTGTCCACTGAGCCAATCCATCATCATCTTGAACCTGAAATATAATAGCCTCCTGATGGATCTTTCTTTATCCACTTTTGCTTTACAGTCTAGACAAGACAAATACACAAGACAAATCATGTCACTTCCTCTGTTTAACATGTTCCAGTGGTCTCCTCTCTTACCCAGGGAATATTCACAGTCATTATATGTTATATCTGACTTTTCTCCATCATCTCAACTGCTCCAGCTACTCCACGCTTTATCCTACATCCACACTAGCCTCCAATATTTCCTTAAACTCACCAAACATGCTTCAACATGAGACTTCACACTTGCTGTTCTTTCTACCTGATATATTCTTCCCCCGGTATCCACATGATTTACTGTCTCACTTCATGCAGGTTTCTGCTTACTGTCTCACTTCATGCAGGTTTCTGCTTATGTGTCATCTTATTACAGGGCTCTTGACATAAAAATAACAATACCACCTCTCCCTCAATTCCTGTCTGCATTTACTCTCATCTCTACCCATCTTGTTTTTAGTTTCTAGCACTTTCATTCCTCAACATACTATTAATACATATCTGTTTATTTCTTCTCTTGTTCCCCATTACAAGATAAGATCACTGAGTATACGGCCTTTGCTTCATTTATGGTGTCTTCCAGACCCTGAAACAAGGCCTACCACATAGTAAAAATAATAAAATCTCTGATGACATAGCTTTATTTTCCTCTCAAGCTTTATTACTTCCCCAGTATGTGGTACTCCAGGCACAACAAACATCTTGCATTTCCTTAACCCTGATTGCTCTATCTCACTTTATTCCTTTGACAAGTCCTTACCTTCACCTGTGTCACCTTCACTCTCCCTCCCTTCTCCTGACTTAAAAGTGACTATCCCTGAGAGGCTTCTTCCTGACTGCTCAAGTCTGGCTGGTGTCCTTTCCAGGTGCTCCTACAGTACCTGTGCTTTTTTCTCATCCACAACTTCCCTCTTCAGAATCTATTGCAACCAGCCCACTTCTATGCCCACTTCTCAAGACCAAAGGCAATATTTTACTCACTGTTGGAAACTGGTAAAAAAAAAAAAAAAAAAAAAGTTCAGATGATGTGGAAACAAACAAAGTGGGTGTTGGTTTGTTTCAACACACCACATAAGATGGAGTATGAAAGAGGAAGAGGAGAAAGAACAAGAGTGACGTAGACTAGAGAAAAAGGTTGGGGCTACTCAGAGTCTTACAAATAGGGAAGAAAAGGAACAGTCTCAAGATCCAGATGGCCAAGATGCTCACACTACTTCTCAGATATCTCCCCAACCTCACCCCCACACACTAACATGTGAACAGCCCCACTGCCTAACAATTTTGGAAACTTAAAAGCTTTCATCCATAGGGTGTGGGTTATAGGGACACATCAGGAATGGGTGGTATGCAAAGCAAATGTTGTGTAATGACTACGGTGGACATGCTCATATTGAATTGGAGCCAGTAGTTTAAGGAGAAAAATAAAAGAAGACACATGACCACTGTTGTAGCTACCGAACTCAGAGCCCAAGTGAAAACCCTTAAATGTCCTAAAGGGCCTATCACCTCTGTGCTTTCATCTCCCTACTATTCTGCCCCTTGTCTGTCTACACAGGCACACTGACTCCCTTGTTGTCCCAAATATCAGATACACCCCTTTCTCAGGAACTTTATTTGTATCTTGGTCTTCTTCCTGAAATGGCCTCTCTCAAATATCTCCACAGACAGATTCCTCACTCCCCTCAGGCTTCTCCTCAAATATTTCTATGATGTGAGCCCTTCCCTGGCAGCTTCACTGAAAATGTCAACTGCCCCCTGATAGTTATCTGTTCCCACATTCCCTTTATTTTCCTCCTTAAACTATTTAACATGCTCTTTGGTTTTTCCTATTAGCTTCATGTATTGTATGTCCCTCTACATGAGGATTCGAGTGGGGGGAGGAGAGGAAAGGGTGTTTCTGGAGGGCTGTCTATTTTTCTTTTTACATTGTAGGCCCTTGATAAATATTTGTTGACTATGAATGAATAAAGAGTCAGATAATCTGGTTATCCAACTGATATTATTACTAATGAACTATATGACATAATGCAAAGAGCTTTTATCTCATCTCATCTTTATCTGTGACACAGGTGCAATAAAGAGTGATTTCCCTACATCAAGGTCTGTTTCATCAACTGAAAGAAAAGATGGGAAAAGAAAAACTGAAGAAGTGAATGGCCTTATTTTGAAGGATGGGACTGCGCATTTATTGGGCTTACCTTGGTATTTAAAGAGACTATGAACTCTTAGAGCCCAAGGACAGTAAATGCACACTGGCTGCTGTGTTTGGCAAAGTGGCTAATGAGGAAGAGCAGTGACTGTGGCTGACTGAGGGAGTCTGAGTTACCTGGAAGAGTGGAGACAGATTGGCGAGAGCCCTGTATCTGTAAGTGTGGGAGTGATGGCAGAGGCAGGGGCCCTTGTGATTTTCCCTCCTTCCAGACAGAAACAGTGGGAAACCTGTGGGAGTGGCACACAAAAGGACAGGGAGATATTTTCCCTGTCTGCCAGGCCCCTGGGGCCCCAGCTCATGCTCCCACAGCCTGTTCCCATGGGCCTCCTGGGCAACATTATAAATAGGCCTGTGCCTGAAAGGGCAAGCCAGCTCCAGCTGTTTTCTCTGCACCGTTTTTCAAGTGAGTGCAACCTCATCTGGGGTTAGGCAGCCCAAATCCTGCATCCTAAGGGACCTTGAAGACCCCACACACTGCCTCTTAGCAGGGCAGGGAAAGCCCTTGCATGCCACCTACACTTCCATGGGCCAAGAAGGAATGTCTCAGAGCACTAGCAAGTGAGTATAAATGCAACAGCCACATTTGGGCCCAAAGATAATCAGAAATTGGGTCTAGCCAGGGGTCACCTTAGGCAAAAGGCAAGACAACCTGGGAGGGAGACATGAGGTCTTCTGGGATAGCTAACTAGGGAAACAATATGATGGCCCAGTCTTAGACTGCTGCCAGCAAAGCAGAAACCTTGTCCTGCGGAATGATGGGTCAGGACAGTGGCTGACTGTAGCCATCAAAGACCCTTATATCTATAAGTGCTACATGCAGTGGGATGAGTAGGAGGTTTTGAAAAGGAAGAAATATGTTGCTGTGCTCCTCCCGCTTACTTCCATGCCTACCCTTTTCTGCACCTGGTCCCCATTTCTCTTGCACACAGAGGTCCAGTGATATGGCCTCCCTCCAAGGAAGTTACCTGAACATTACCACATACTTATCAGCCTGATTTGTTTGGATTTCTGAATCTCCTTTCCCCAAGTTACCTATGTCAGATACATAGATGGTGGACAGATGCAAGACATAAGCTTTCTTTGATCTCACTGAGGGATGCAATTATCTGCCTCTGAAAGGGGCTTTTTATTCTCTGACAGCAGCTAAGGTCCAAAGTGATTTCCATACATCAAGGTCTGTTTCATCAACTGAAAGAAAAGATGGGAAAAGAAAAGCTGAAGAAGTGAATGCCTTTATTGCATTTTTGCTTGTCAAGGAGGGTAGCTGTTGTGTCATTGTACATGTTCTGAGGATAGAGAAGAGCAAATAGCAGTCAGATGTGTGGATTTTATCATCTTTAATCCCTGGATTTGTTACTACTAATTTTTCTTCAATGGGGATAATCCAAGTCAAATCTTTTAGTTCTCATCTTATCATATTTATGAAAGACTGCTGGTTTCCAAACTATCTCCACTAAGGCCAAATAGAAGAACATCTCCCACTTGTAGTTGAGGACTGAGGTTAGGAGTGAAGAAGAATCTTGGCAAGATGAACAGTTAACTGAACACAATTGAGGAAGACTCCTGCAGAGTTTATTCCCAAGATTCAGAGGTTCTTGTTGAAGCCATGTCCTTAGCTCCTGAGAGACAATTAGCTCTAAAAGCCAGGACACTAGGGAGCCTCGCAGGGAAACATTTAATGAAGTCACAGCACATGTGTTTAGGGTGAGGAGGTTGTGGGCAGAACAACACACAGTTTCTGAAAAGGAAATGTCTGCCAAGGCTGGTTTGGGTCAGTGGATAGAGCATCAGTCTGCAGACTGAGGGGTCCCAGGTTCGATTCCGGTCAATGGCATGTTCCTTGGTTGTGGGTACATCCCCAGTGGGGGGTGTGAAGGAGGCAGTTGGTCCATGTTTCTCTCTCATCAATGTTTCTGGCTTTCTCCCTCTCTCTTCCTCTCTGTAAAAAAAATCAATAAAATATATTTAAAATATAAAAATAAAAAGGAAATGTCTGCCCTATCAATGCCATGTTGGCCAATGTTCCAGGTAAGACAAAGCTCTAGAAATATCTGGACTCGGCCCAAGTTCTTGTGGCAATGAGTGGCCTTGTAGGCAGCTTTCACATGTGTAGGAACCCATCAGCAAGGAGAGGGAGAAGAGCCTTCACAGGGAACATGCCAGACACTAAGGTCTGCTGGAGGCCCCCACTGCCAGCACTTTTATCTCCGGAGAAGTTACTGGAGGGAGCTCCTGCCTTTCATTCAATGACCCCCAGATTTTCCTTCTTTTTTTTAATAGATTGACTTTTGGCCTTTTTGCTTCATATTCTTTTTTCCTTTTAATTTTTTAAAAAATACTATTGTGTTTCTTTCTTCCCACCCTGACCTTAGACCTGGGGACCTGGAATCCTGAAAAACTGCAAAGCAAAGTAAAACAAAACAAAAAAAAACCTCCCTATCCTCAATATCCCTTTATTCCCTTCTCTGTTTGATTTCTACTTATGTTTCAAAAATGAACAGAAGGATCTTTTTCAGAATATGATTATGTTTCTCCTCTTCCCATGCATTAAATGCACACCTTATGCTAGCACATCCCCAAACTCTAATAATTTGATTACTTGTCCCCTTTTCACTCTAAGCAGGGCATCTGAAAGGCAAAAGGTATCTATCTTTCACCTCTGTATCAACAGCATCTAACAAATAACCTTATATATAGTATGTCATGTAAGTCAATGTTTATGGAATGAATGAAAAATTGAAGAAAAGAGGGAGACAGGAGAGGAAAAGGAAGAGGGGAGGGGAGGAAAGGGGAAGTTGTAAGGGAAGGAAGGGGAGGGGGAGGGGAGGGGAGAGGAGGGGAGGGGGACAGAGGACACAGTATCTGGAAGTTCCCAAAAAGGTACTCTTAATACCTATCTGAGAAAAGGACCACCCTGTGTCAGATATGGGCCAGGAAAAGGAGTTTAGGGGAACTTGAGGAAGATATATTTTGGGATAAGCATGTTCTTCCAAGTTTCCTTTTAAAAATATAAATGGGCTTTGAGAATAGTGATAGTACATGAATTTGAGCTGTCACTTTTCTCTTTGGAGAGGGCTTCATAGCTTATGAAGGAGTTTAAAAGGCTTAGAAGAGGGAGGAGAATAAAAGCAGGAGGGCTGAGGAGCATCAGTCCCCAGGTTTCCAGGGCTGACCTCTCTGACTGTGCTCCATCTCCTACCAGGCTGCCAATGTGACCTGACCCTCTCCCATGCCCTCTTCTCCATGCCAGCTATGAGTTCCTGCAACTTCACACACACCACCTTCGTGCTTATTGGTTTCCCCGGACTAGAAGAAATCCATTTCTGGATGGGCTTCCCTCTGCTTTCAATGTATGCTGTGGCTGTGTTTGGAAACTGCATCGTGGTCTTCATCGTAAAGACGGAACGCAGCCTGCATGCTCCCATGTACCTCTTCCTCTGCATGCTGGCAGCCATTGACCTGGCCTTGTCCACATCCACCATGCCCAAGATCCTCGCCCTCTTCTGGTTTGATTCCAGGGAGATTACCTTTGATGCCTGCATTGCCCAAATGTTCTTCATTCACGCTCTCTCAGCCATTGAGTCCACCATCTTGCTGGCCATGGCCTTTGACCGTTATGTAGCCATCTGCCATCCATTGCGCCATGCTGCGGTGCTCAACAACACAGTAACAGCCCAAATTTGTGTAGTGGCCGTGGTCCGTGGATCCCTCTTCTTTATCCCACTGCCTCTGCTCATCAAACGGCTGGCCTTCTGCGAATCCAATGTGCTCTCGCACTCCTATTGTGTACACCAGGATGTGATGAAGTTAGCCCAAACAGACATATTGCCCAATATGGTCTATGGTCTGACTGCCATTCTGCTGATTATGGGCGTGGACGTCCTGTTCATCTCCTTGTCCTATTTTCTGATTATCCGAACAGTTCTGCAACTGCCTTCCAAGTCAGAGCGGGCCAAGGCCTTTGGAAACTGTGTGTCACACATCAGTGTGGTATTGGCCTTCTATGTGCCTCTCATTGGCCTCTCAGTGGTACATCGCTTTGGAAAAACCCTTCCTCCCATTGTGCATGTTCTCATGGGTGATGTCTACCTACTCCTGCCTCCTGTGATCAATCCTATTATCTATGCTGCCAAAACCAAACAGATCAGAACTCGAGTTCTGGCTATGTTCAAGATCAGCTGTGACAAGGACCCTCTGGCGGTGTGAAGCAGGTGACCTTTATGACTCCATTTTCCCTTATCCTTAAGGGCTTGATAATGACTGACTGATGCTAGCCGATAAGCATACCAATGCTTTTCTCTAATTTGATTTCCAAATTCTGTCTCAGTTCAGAGTGAAATCTGGGGAGATACCGTAATTCCCTTCCATAGGTCAAAAAGTTATTTATATCTTTACTATATAAAAAATGCAAGTAGAAAATCCACCAGTGCTCCGATAACTACTGGTATTAAAAAGAAAACATAAAGAAGAGTGACAAAAATACAGTTGGCTTTGAAACAAGGGACAAATTATTCTATCTAATAGTAATCCAAGGTAGCATTTTTGTCTATCAAATTGGCAATTTTTAATAGTGAAAATTTACAATAAAAAGAGGAGATTATATTAAAACATATATGTTTCCCAAAAAATGTATACACACTTTAACAGCTGATAACTCACTTAATTTTCACTCCTTTTCATTTTTAACAGATTTGAAATAATGAATGAAGCCAGACAAGGCTTTGAACAAAGAAACTTTATCCTAAAGTACCACTAGACAAAATATAAAGTCTATGGTACGAAACCAGCAACAGTCAATGAATTGAGGGCACACAAAGACTGAACAAAATGATTCTTGATGTTTGTGATTCCATTGCTTCGTGTTATTAGCAGTTCCTGGACTAGAATGATCAGTTTGAAAACAGGCATTGACAAAAATATTATTCATTTCTGTAGATTCTTTTAAATTTTGAAAATGAACTGTATGTTAATAAACATTAGCTTAATAATCATTCAAAGTGTGTATACATTTTGGAGACACCCTGTGTATTCTTGAATATCACAGTTGATGATATAATTGGCAGTATGAAATAAGAACTTTTTAAAAGTTGTATGCTTTAATGCTGAAATCACACTTTTGAAAATGCATCTTAACAAAATATCTTTAAGTGCAGAAAATGGGTTTTTCAAAACAGATATTAATTACACCACTATTTACAGTAATCATATACTAGAAATCTCCCATAATGTGTAAAAATAAGGAAGAGCAAACTCAAGTATGGTCCATTTACTTAATGGAATATTATGTGGAATAACTCATATTAAAAAATATTATATGGCCTTTAAAGACTCTGCTATAAAAAAAATGCTTTAATTTAAGAAAAACAATAGACACATGATTGAAACTAACTTGAAAAATGAACCATGCCTTGAAGGAAATGTGCTCAAATCATTAGTGACTTATTTTTGTTCCTAATTTCTAAATTTATTTATTATGGAGGTCATGTTTAGCTGGCATGTGTAACTTTTTAAAGGGGAAATAAAACAGATAACTTATATAAACCAGGGCTTAGCACATTATCTGGAAATTTATCTAAGCCCTAAATAATAATGTCAATGAACATATCTTGAGTGCTTACAATGTTCCAGGCATTGTAATGAGTGTTTTATGGATTTTATCTGATCTTCACAACAACTTTACGAGGTAAGTATATTTTTGTCCCCTATTATAAGTGAGAGAAATTAGGCTTACATTAACAAGACAACTCATACAATTTGTGTGTGCTATCCCAAGATTTGAAGTTACATTTGATGATCAAATATAGTTACTTAATTTCTATGTTATATTGCTTCCTGTTTAACATCTGCCATTGATTTCCTCAGCCTGTGCAAATTCTGTTTTCTCTCTGCTGTGTGCTTAATGAGATGCATGACTATGTGTGTTGAGAGTTAACCCTGCCCTTGTAGTGGGCAACAAATTCAGATTACTTTTCATGTTTGACAACCGCCTTTCATATTCTGCATCCTGCTTCTTTCCAGATTAAGGGAGAATAACATTTTTTGTCTATTTACCTCTTGCACCTTCTCAATTATGTCTCCCTTTTTTTTTTTTTTTTTTTAGTGCATTTTGTATCTGTCAAACAGTTCAAGTGTCTAAGTTTTAACTTAACTACCATGAGAAGGCTAAAAGACAAATTCCAATGTAACACTGATGTTTGGGGGGCTAGCAATCTGAATCTGTACCCGTAACCTAATGTACATTCTTGATAGCTTATTATTAACTCACTGCCCCTTTCCTCCACAATCTGGTCTTGCAAGACCTGGTACCTAAATGCTCACATTTTACAGATGCCATAACCACGTGTCAAACACAAGGCCCGCGGGCCAAATCCGTCCCGCCAGGCCTTGCAATGTGGCCCGCACCGCGCTGTCATCACTGCACTCCGCTGCGTTTCCATCACAATGACAGTTTATGACTGTTCAGTAAACCATTCGGCCAGCGATTTAGGCTGGATTTTAGATTTTGGCCCCTTCTCTGATTGAGTAAGACACCCCTACCATAAACCATGAACCCCCAGAGGGGGTTATTAGCGCTGGCGCCAGGCCAGGCCCTTAGATATGATCTCAAGACCCCATCCCAACCCACGGAGCTTTTTGCAAAGCCCACTAAAGATCCAGAAGTCCTATCCCACACATGGAGGAACAAAAGAAACCAAAGGGGTATAAAGGAAGGGCTTCCACTATATTGGTTTGCTCAGACTCTGGATGCAACTCCTCTGAGATCACCCTAGTAATAAAGCTGTGTAACTTCATTTATTTCAGTGTAGCTTGGGTTTCTCTGGTCTTCTACAATAAGATAAAATAAAATTTTATTTTAAATTTTGCTGTTATGCCTATTGACTTTATAATTACAGAATCCTATAAACTCAGATTTGAAGATACAAGAGGTTTTCTAGTCTTCTTTCCCACCAGTGCAGGAATCCTGATAGGTACCATTTGTAAAGATGCTAATGTATCTTTTCTCAGGATCTGATGAGAAGCTGAAATCTGACTGCAATCCTTGGGCCTATATGTTCCTTCAGTTGCTTCACTGAACAAACCTTGGGTGGGGGAGATGGGTGGACAAACCATGTGGAGAGTCCAACCTGTGGGCTCTTGCTTAAGAAGAGGGAACCTCAGAGCATTCAACTGATTCCCTACTCAGAGCAGTGAAGTCATGCAGCCAATCAATGCAGCTAGTTCAGGACTGAGGGAAGGAGAGAATGGAAGAAAGCTGTAACTTCCCTAAAGAAACAAAGATATGTCCATGCTTGGTGGAAATGGAGAGTCAGATTTTTGGCCTCACTCCAAATAACGAGGTCCCCACCACCTCCATCTGCTTCTGTCTTCCTGAGCATTACTATATATCTCAGTTAAACCCTCCTGCCTACTTCCATATGCCTAAGAGCATGGTCAAATAAATAACTTAATAAAGTGGGTATCTCTTGCTCCCAAATTCCTCACTGTGTCCCACCAAGCCCAACATATATTCATATTCTATTTCTGTCTTTCCTACCCTTCCCACTGCCCTACGATTTTTATTTTTAAAAAGTCTAGTGAAGCCGAGACTGTTTTGGCTCAGTGGATAGAGTGTCAGCCTGCGGACTGAAAGGTCCCAGGTTCGATTCCAGTCAAGAGCATGTACCTTGATTGAGGGCACATCCCCAGTTGGGGGTGTGCAGGAGGCAGCTGATTGATGATTCTCTCTCATCGATGTTTCTCTCTATCCTCTCTCTTCCTCTTTGTAAAAAAATCAATATATATATATATATATATATATATATATATATATATATTTTAAAAAAAGCCTAGTGAAGAGTTCTATGCAAATATTCATTGAAGCACTATTTACAATAGTCAAAAGGTGGAAATAACTCAAGTGTTCATCAGCAACTCAACAGAAAAACAAAATGTGGTATATACATATAATGGAATGTTGTTCATCCATAAAAAAGGAACAAAATTCTGATGAATGCTATAAAATGGATGAACTCTGAGAACATTATGCTAAGTGAAATAAGCTAGACACCAAAAGACAAATATTGTATGACTCCACTTATGTAAGGTATAGAAAATCGGCAAATTCATAGAGACAGAAAGCTGAATAGAAGTTATCAGGGGCTGAAGGGAGGGGAGGATGAGGAGTTACTATTTAATGGGTACAGAATTTTAGCTTGGGATCATGAAAAAGTTGTAGAAATGGATAGTGGTGATAGTTGCACAACGATGTGAATATACTTAACCCAACTTGGTTGTATATTTTAAAAAATTTAAATGACAAATTTTATGTTATATGTTTTACTACAATACTTACCAAAGAAAGAATATAAACTATTTCCTTATCAATGTTAGATCAAGAACATGTTGAAATGATTGTATTTTGGATAAAGAAAATATATTATTTAAAGTTCTTTAATACAAGGCCTAGAGAGGATATTTAATGCATTCCAGGGAGACGTAGCCCTGGAAAGGGATTTGTGAGCTCTGAGCTATGGTTTCTGTAAATGACCTTGTCTAGTTGATGTAATCTCTGAGCATTAAGAAGCCATGAGCCGCCAAAACCAGTTTGGCTCAGTGGTAGAGCGTCAGTCTGTAGACTGAAAGGTCCCAGGTTCGATTCCGGTCAAGGGCATGTACATTGATTGCGGGCACATCCCCAGTGGGGGGTGTCCAGGAGGCAGCTGATCGATGATTCTCTGTCGTTGATGTTTCTAGCTCTCTATCCCTCTCTTCCTCTCTGTGAAAAATCAATAAAATATAAAATAAAATAAAAAAAGAAGAAGAAGAAGCCATGAGCCTGTGAGGCTGAAAACCTTCAGGGACCCCTTTCCTGAGGCCACACCTGCTGTTTTCCCAAACATGGTACCAACTCAATCTCCTACTCCCTGAATCTACCACTTAAGGCTCTTTCCAAAAGCCAATCCTGGAGGTATTCACAAGCTCTCTAAAAGGAAGCTCAGTGCAACAGAAAGCGCAGACAGTTCTGTGCCTTATGAAGTCAATCCATCCTCTGTGAGACTTGTTATCCTCATCTGTTTATTAGAGGTGATAACAGTACCATCAGTGTTTTATGAGAATTGTGTACAATCATCCATGTAAAATACTTGGGATAGTATTTAGTACAAAGTATGTAGTCAATAACTATTCATTATTATTACTTCCAGGGAGGAGCAAATAATAATCCCTGCCTGACAGGATATTGGAAGAATAAAAATGTGTGTTCTCATGTAACAAGCAAGCCACACAGAACATTCATTGAGTCATATTAGCCTGGGAGTTTGGAGCTTAAAAACTGGATTTCCCATCTCTCCCCACCCTCCCAACCTCCTCTCCGGCCCCTCTCCTTCCCCCCCTCCCCCAAACACACACCATCTTACACACACCAGTACCAGGTCTGAGGTTGGGGATAGGTAAAAGGGAGTATAGTATGGTAGATGAAAGAGGTAGGATTTAAATGAGATTGAAATGACTGATCTTATGCACTGGAGCAGTGGTTGGCAAACTGCCACGTGGCTCTCGAGACACATGCGGCTCTTTGGGCAGCTCTTCCACAAAATACCACCTGTGGGCGTACAGTACAGTGCGATTGAAACTTCGTGGCCCATTCACAGAAGTCAGTTTTTGGCCTGGGCAAGTCTATTTTGAAGAGGTGGTTCTAACGCAGAGCCACACTCAAGGGGCCAAAGACCACTGCACTAGAGGATGAAGACTGACAGAAAGGTCATAGTTTTCAAAGCTGTTCCAGAAAAAAACGTAACTATTCTAGAGGATGCCAAACTAAAGCAGGATATGGCCATTGTTTATTACTTGTTCACAGGGTTCTGAGAGAGTGTTTGCCTCTGGTTCCCAGTGATCAGGAAGAGCTTCCAAGAGGATAACCTCTGGGTGCTTGAGAGCTGAGTTAACTAACAGAGTTGGTCCCAGGCAGGCAGCCGCTGCGCTGCTATGAGAGAACTCTGGGTCTCAGGCAATTGCTCATCACAGTGAGTACATCTTTCCCAGTGGAAAAAGTGCCTCCAGGGACCGAAGACCATAAAAACACTGCCCCGTTCCCAGCCATGTTTATGTTGGCCTGGTCGATGAAGGGCACTAGTTTAGGTAGCCACGTCCCCTTGAGAGCCAGAGTCTGAGTGAGGTTGTCTCTTAACTAGAACAGTTCATCCCCCAGTAATTTCATTGAGGCTCTCCTCTCTGAGTAGCACATCATTTATCCCAAACTGAATTAACAAAAAATAAGGACAGAACATAATTTTTTTGTTTGTTTGTTTCTAGTAAGAGAGTTCTCCCTGGCCTTTTTTATAATTAAAGGCAATATTTACTCTCAGTACATGTTTATGACCAGATTACCACCATCACATATTTGCGATTCTTTCCCACAATGATCACCACCAATTCTTTTGCTGGTGCCAAAAGTCATGCCCAGTGGTCATTTCTTTGATGTCATTCAATGTTAAATATTCAAAAATCATTTCAGTGTCCCAGGCCCTGTAAAAGGTGAAGAAAATCCAAAAATAAAGAATAGAGGATATTGTAGTGGGTGTCAAATAGAATCCAGAAGATAAGAGATAGTAAGTATTAGCAAGGGCATGGAGAAAAAGGAATCCTGTGTACTGTTGGGGAGAATGTCATTGGCGCCAACCACTGTAGAAAATATGGAGGGTCCTCAGAAAGTTAAAAATACCGTATGATCCAGCAATCCCAGTTTTGTGTGGGTGTATATCCAAAGGAACTGAAATTATCTCCAAGAGATACCTATACTCCCATATTCAGTGCAGCATTATTTACAACAGCCCAGATATTGGAAACCACCCAAGTGTCTGTCGATAAAAAAATGAGTAAAGCAAATGTGGTATACATGTCAACACATATATTCAGCCTTAAAAACAAAAAAGGAAATCCTGCTATTTGCGACCAGATGAATGAATCTGAAACATTGTGATAAGTGAAATAAACCAAACAGAAAAAGACCAATACTGCATGGCATCACTTACATGTGGGATGTCTCTGCCTCAGGTGAGTCCAACAGGCTTCCACTCCTCCTGCAGGAGTGGGATCTCCTTGGCACACGGTCTAAGTGTAACTGGACAATCAATGGGTCAGGGCTGCCTGTCCCTACTTGAGCCAATTGAGCAGAGACAGGGTTGAACCGTATATGAGCACTTATTCCAATAATGCCACCAGCATCGTCACCACTAGTGACCTCCCCCCACCATAAGCCAGCTGCTTGCTTATATTGGGTAGAAGGAGGAAGATTACTTGGGGAAGGAAGCAAAAGAAATAAGAATGGATATGCAAAATGGGGTT